GACGGACGGACGGACGGACAGACAGTCACCGCTTAATCGATTTCTCTTTTCATTCTGATCATTTATGTATACATTTGTCTATGTGTCTATTTGTATATGTGAACAAAGTTATAATACCTTTGTGCACAAGTGCGCTCGGGTATAAAAATTACGTAGCTGTAAACATTTTTTTCTCCCAATACTTGGTGTGATTTTTTCCTAGTTCGAAAAACTATTTTCTCGAAATTACGCAAAAAGGCTGAAAATCGAAAAAATAAGAAAATAACACTTTCATATATTTGCAACGTCGCGCAAAGAGATCCCATTATATTCTCGAAAACAACATGAAATTTGCNAAGCGGCCGTAATTTTAATCCGATTTCAATAATTTTCAACGTTTTGCTTCTAGGTGGCAAATAGAATAACCACACCGAGTTTGGTACAAATTGGTAGAACGGTAAGCGAGATACATATATGTGATCATAAGTGGGCGGTGCCACCGCCATTTTCCAAAATTTTATCAAAAGCGTATTTCTTGGTAAAGAATTGTTGCAAGCATCAATTTTGAATAAATTAGCTTTAATATTTCCTGATTTACCGAAGATTTCGTATTTCTCTAAATTGCCGTTGTATGGGATTTGTGCGTGGTTATTGTTCGATTTCAAAGATTTTCGGCCGTATCGTATTTTATATCAAGGCCAACAACTGTGCCAAGTTTGGAAGAAATCGGTGCAGCGATTACCAAGATATACACATTTAACCATAAATAGGCGTGGTTATTGTCCGATTTTGCCCATTTTCAATACCATCCGTNCTGATCATTTATGTATACATTTGTCTATATCTATCTCGATTCGTTTTGCCTGTTACAAACAACCGTTATGTGAACAAAGTTATAATACCCTTGTGCACAAGTGCGCTCGGGTATAAAAATTACGTAGCTGTAAACATTTTTTTCTCCCAATACTTGGTGTGATTTTTTCCTAGTTCGAAAAACTATTTTCTCGAAATTACGCAAAAAGGCTGAAAATCGAAAAAATAAGAAAATAACACTTTCATATATTTGCAACGTCGCGCAAAGAGATCCCATTATATTCTCGAAAACAACATGAAATTTGCCAAAACATGTGTCTAATTTCAAGACCTGACCTACCGGTACTCTCACTTTTTTTTATACCCCAGCGCACTTGTGCGCAAGGGTATTATAACTTTGTTCACATAACGGTTGTTTGTAACAGGCAAAACGAATCGAGATAGATATAGACAAATGTATACATAAATGAGCAGAATGAAACGAGAAATCAATTAAGCGGTGACTGTCTGTCCGTCCGTCCGTCCGTCTGTGCACACGATAACTCGAGTAAAAATTCAGATATCTTAACGAAACTTGGTACATGCACTTCTTTTGGGCGTAGGACAGATGGTATTGAAAATTGGCGAAATCGAACAATAACCACGCCTACCTCCCATATAACGGTAATTTTCAGAAATACGATAACTGCGATATTTTAGTAAGTACTGAAGATAATTCACTCAAAATTGACATTTAGAATAAGTTTTAGACGAAAAATAAGAATATTAAAAATTTTTGGAAAATGGGCGTAGCCACGCCCACTTATAGTTACATGTGTATATCTTGGTAACCGCTGCACCAATTTCCAAACTTGGCACAGTTGTTGACCCTGGTACAGCACACCAAATGACTGAAAATTTTTAAAATCGGACAATAACCACGCCCACATCCCATATAACGGTAATTTCTAGAAATACGAAATCCTCGATAAATCAGTAAATATTAAAGCTAATTTATTCAAAATTGATGGTTGCAACAATTCTTTACCAGGAAATACGTTTATGATAAAATTTTGGAAAATGAGGCGCTTTTATGATCACATATGTGTATCTCGTTAACCGTTCTACCAATTTGTACCAAACTCGGTACGGTTATTGTGCTTGCCACATAAAAGCAAACCGTTGAAAATTGTTGAAATCGGACTAAAATTACGGCCGCTTTTCATATAACGGTAAATTTCAGAAATGCTTCAAATTTCAATATTTCGAAATTTAAGGATGCTAGTTTACTTAAAATTTATACACCCCGGCTT